CTGCTGGTGCGCTGTGGCCTCTGCAAGTTTTCTTCAATGCCTGTTCATGAAGATCAACCCAGTGATAAATCTCTTCCCTTAATCTCTTTTTCTGTTTGCATTGTGAGATGGCTCCAAGTCTGCTGCCTATCACTTTCCAAGAAGTTTTGTTTCCCATGGCTGTTAGTGATCAGTAATACTTTGTGGAAAGCAGATAGTTATTATGTCACATTTATAGAAAAGGCAACTGATGCCCTAAAACTAAATGACTTGTTTCCATGGAGGTTCTTGGATTAGACTCAGCTGTTGTCAGGTTTTGAAACTTCTAACATAAATTACAGTATTTCCTAAACATCACATTGAAGTTTTAATGTTTGGCTGCTTGATACACATGAAATAACAGGCAGTTTTGGTCTGACAGCGTGAAAAAATGAGGTAAGGAAAGGAAAAAGATTGTTGAGAGGAGAAAATCCTATTTACAGATGTGGTAGGGACATTCAATAAGCAGCAAACTTTCAAGGCAGTTTAATAAATATGACATGTTCAGACAAGCTGGGCACTGTGAATCTGTGTGGGGCCCCATGGAGTGAGTGCAGAAGCCTTCACTTTCTTGTCACTTCTTTTTGGGGTTACCTGGGCCTGAGCAATACACTCAATGAGCAATACTCATGCCTATGGTGGTTCTTCACAACAGCTACAATAAAATACAATGCATAGGGCAATACTGTAAATGTATTAAGAAGATTAACAAGTATCAGCAATTATTCCATTCTGAGTAAGCAGTCAGGAATGTTTTGCCACACATTTGGGCACAATGCCATATCCCACATTGAGATTTAATCTTTGCACATGAATCAGCCCTGCAGATTTTCAAGGCAATACTCTTTAGTTTCCAAAACTTGAGTCAGTAAGACATGCTAATAATCCAAAAGATGTTATTTTGGAAAGGTGATGTAGAAGAGGTAGATCCTTCCACCATGCAAGTTACTATTCCCTCCCTGTAACAATTCTAAGCCAGCCTTCAGTAGTCAAAGTGGCATAAGTGATAGACATATGTCAAAATAAGAAAGCTAGAGAGGCCTAACTTGGATATATTCCTTTGAACTTACACATCTGGAGCTGAACAGTATCAAAAATCAACACAACACATCCCACCCAGGCAGATCAAAGCCTATTTGCGGACAGAGAAAAAGGCACGGTGTCATTAATGTGGAGAAGCCAGGACTGTGACAAAGTTCACGGTGATGGTGCTTGCACTTCATCAGAAAAGGTCAGGATGGCGCTCTGTGCCTTGGAATTATTCATCACTTTTTGCCATAAAGAATACTTGTGTTTCTGCTTTTAATCCACTCATGTTTTTCTGTTTGCTGCCAGTGTGTCAAAATAATCTCCAGATTATGGTGAGTCATAATGGAGATCCCTGGAGCAACAGCCTGGGAAAGACCTGGGCTTGCTCAGAACAGGCATTTCAGGAGATATTAACAATGACGGTTCTCTGACTGCAGTGACGTGCAGGCTTATTACCTTCCCGGTAATCGCTGGAGTAAGATGCCCCAGTGTTGACTAATCATTCCGCACTAAAACACAACACTGGTTCTGCTTCCCCAAGGAGGTTATGACTGAAAGCCTTAGAATTGATGGTCTGATTTTGTTCTGGGGCTTTTCTCCAGCTCAATGGGCCAATCCCTCACCTGCTCACACAGCTGAGAGTGTGGCTATGGCGAGAAGCCAGCACTGGTGTGGAAGAAGCTGCTGCCTGGAGGATGATCTGACATTTTATTTCACTTTTATCTAACACTTGCAGGAGGGTAGTGCCAGGGTGTTTGCTGCTCTGACACTGGTGTTTCCTGAAGCTGGGCTAGGAAGCCCATTTAGCTTCCTGGGAATGGGATGAGGAATGGGAAAGAGTTGTGAGATAGTCAGTGGCTGAAGTCTCCTTATAATGACAACTTGGGATCCATCTCAGTGATGACTATTCAGTTCTAATTGATGGGTGTTTGGAAGGCAAAAAAAATAAGTGTTATTACACAGTTCATCAATTCTGGCTTTCTTTAAAAGCTTTTGATGCCATACACAGTCACAGAGTCTAACTTCCTGGGCCAGGGCTGTGCACCAATGTGCATCCAAGGCAAGCTGGAGATCAGGAAGGAGGACATGACTTGGTTTGATCTAGAAGAACAATGAACATTACCCATTTTAAACCAACTTTAGTTTGCCCTGGCTGCAGTCAGCAAACCATCATCAAAGCTACTGAAAACTCATCCCTAAAGTTGTATTTTCATGCTATAAATTATTAATTTCTTATTGCTGCTGACTCCTAAGTGCTAGAGACCAAACTACTGACCAGGAGATAGTAAATGTTAGTAAATGCACTGCTAATGCTGTCGAAGTCAGCTTTAAAAGGATTAGCATGAGCATTGTTTCTTAACAGCCACTGATGGCTTTACACCTATTAATTGTTAACTCTAACTATCACTACTAGTTCTATAAATCTGTCCCCCGCAGTTTTGTATACTATTATTTTATGCTTATAAGGTAAAACCCCCAGGAAAGGCAACACTTCATGGCCTGCGTTTGTGAAGTATCTGTCCCTTTCGGGTGTCCAATATAACTGAAGCATCTAACAGCTACTGGAATTTACAGGCTACATAATAAGATAATGAGTCCATAAACGCTAGTCTGGAATTTTCTGCTGATTCCCCACAAGGGTGTCAACCATGTTGAAGAATGGTCAGGAATTCACTCACTCCTGGCCATTATTTTTAGTGATTTATCACTACAGCTCCTTGCTGCATGTTCCAGGCTTACAGAGACTCAACTCTCCCTCCCTAGAAGAAGTCTTTCTGTGCAAAGTGAGACAAAATGAAGGAGAGATTTGCTTTAGGCACTGAATTTAGGACTAAGCCAGCCAGCTAGATTCCCTCTGTCATCTACAGAAAAAGAGGATTTGGGAATTCCAGTCTCTGGCTGCTTTTCTGCCGTTTTTTTTTAGAGGAATGTGCCACTCTCTCCAATGGCTGCAACGACCAGTTGTTAACCAGCTTGACAGGGTTTAAATCAACATATCACCCTCAAAGCTTCTGCCCTTGTGAAGATCTCTGCCTGCTATGGTGGATGATTTGGTTACTCCCTTTTAAATTCTTAGGTGATCACCACAGGAATGAGCCCAGGGAAGTAGCTGGTAGCTTAGATGCTTGTAATTGGTGAGGTTAACACACTCCTGGCACAGCACACCATCCTCATCTACTCTGGGGCTGGCTGAAGGCAGCACCTCTGTGAGATAAGGAGAAAGGGTGAAGCAAACCCACAGATGTTTTGGTTTGCAAAATTACACTCACAGTGGCTTTGGTTGTGATAACCATAGAATAACAGAATGAGTTGGGTTGGAAGGGACCTTAAAGATCCAGTTCCAGCCCACTACTATGGGCAGGAGCACATTCCATTAGACTTGGCAGAGACTTTTCATTCTCCAGACACAAACTCTCCTGCCTTCTCCCCCAAGCTTTGGATAAGGTCCATTGCCATGATGGCTGTGAGCTGAACTGCTGGCCCTAACGGCTGGGATAATACAGCTTTCTGAACTGGCATTTGGTTTGGCAGGATGTCTTGTGTCTTGTGTGTAGGCTGGCCAGCAGGAACATGCCTTACTGCAATTCGTTTGTCTTTCACGCTTGTTTACACCCTTAACAATTTAAACCCCATCCTTTATAGCAAAGATTATGATTAAATTATGTGGGATGGTTATGAGGAAGCTCTAGGCTGCACTTAAGTGGATTGTTCCAATTTTTTCCGCAGAATATAGAACTTCAAAGCGTTTCTGTGTGCTGAATGTGTTGTAGATAAGAGTTCAACTGTAATAAACCTAATGACATTGCTGCAGTTTTAGGTCTTGATAATGAGTAATAGTTTCACTTCAAAACACGACCTCATCCTCTTCCTAAACAGATCCTTCATAGCTTTGCAGGTTAAGGTTATTTGCTTTGTCATGGAAAACAATTTGTTTTTCTCTGCTATATTAAAATCGAAGTCTTAAATTTATGAACCTTCTGGTTTTTACATGGTGTAAATTTCATCTGTCAATTGAAAAGATGCTCAAGAGGGTTGCCCTACATAAAATCTAGGCTTATGATGTTTAAAAAAAGTTTGAAAACCAGTCCATCAGTGTGCTAAATTAAGGTCTCTTAATTAAACATATACAACACAAATAACATAAGGCTTCCCTTTCCAGTGATAAATTTGCTTTGTGTAAAAAAGTTACAATTCTTCATAGAGCCCACAGATTTATTCAGCCTCCAAGCTCTGCTTCCAGCTGGAGGACTTGGATTTCTTCAACACATTAACCAAAGAATTTTGGTTGGAAAATTTTTCAAAATCTAATGAAGAATTTTACTTGGAAAGGAAACCTTTTGCTGTCTGTTACGAGATCAGAAACAGCCTAAGTCAAGTGTCAGACGGATAATGCACTGTGTGGGGCTCAGACCTAAAAACTAACCCTAAGAAAGGTAATTACAGCAGTTGAAGGAATGATCCAAGTAACAGCACCTGATTTACAAGTAAATTAAGTCATTACTAACAGATAGATCCTCTAACCTCCAGGCAGTTAAAGCATTCACAGCCGAAGGCTTTTTACCTCTATCTCCTAACTCTCTCTTCAGTGGATCGAGTAAGGGTGATTTGGCTTATTCTTCTGTTACATCTTTGTATTAGTGTAAAGCTTCACTGTTACTCCCCAAATTGTTGCCTATAAACAACTCTCTATTGCAAGTAGTCCATTGTGAACAACTTTTTCCTCTCTGTAAGCTAGCAAAAGGATAAAGGCAACCTCTGATCCAACAGTTTAGTGTGATTGTTTAATCCTACCCTTTTTGTGATGAATCCTTACAAAAGATTTTAAGGATGTCCACATATTTTGGACAGCACACAAACCAACAATCAGGACATGACTCAAGTGAAGCATCACTTTAGCATCACTGTCCAATAGTTTTAAGACAAGGAGAGAAGAAAGCCAGAAGGCAAATGTAATGGAATATAAACTTTAATTGTAACAGAGCAAGGACTTCATTGCAGCAGAACATAACAATGCAGAGGGCACAGAATACTTTTGCAGGGTTAGCTCAAGGTAGATGTGGTTGTCTTCTCTGGGGGCTGCAGTTTGTAAGATGATCTTCTGTCTTTGTTGCATTTGCAGCATTTGAAAAATGAGTTGGGTTTTCACCACAACAGTTTGTTTGGGGTTTTTTTGTTCTCTTTTTCTTTTTTAATCCCAGATGACATGAAACAGCGTGGCTCCCACAGTCAGACTGGAGCTTTGAGAAGTTTTAAAGTCAGTCCATCCGAGAGGTCAGAATATAGAGAACCTAATTTACACTGATGCTTAGTCTTCTATAAGTGACCTGAATTTCAGCTAAGGACTTTTCTGTGTTTCTCAGAGCTGGGATCTTCTTAGCAGATACCTAATCCAATAGGAGGGGAAATACAATGTCTGGGTTTGTTTCTCAGCCCAGCTACTCAGAACCCCTGCTGCAGCCTGGTACATTGGCCCTCTGAAAACCATGTCCCTCTGCTCACTCATGGACTGGGAATTTACTCTGGTCCCTGCTGGGTCCAGCTTCCCAGGGCATCCTTGCAGTGCTTAGCAGGGCCCACAGCTCCCACTACGGTAAGTCGTGTACCTGCGGGAATAGCAGGGGTAGGAGTACCTGCCACCCAGGGAGGTGCCAGACCCAAAGGAGCTCTGCACATCCTGGGAGCTCCCATACCCAAAGGAGCTGCCTATCTCCAGGGGGGCTGAAGTGCCCACGATGCTCTCCTGAGGGCAGGAGCTGAGGATGGGGCCTGGGAAGACAATGGCCACGGGTGGTGGGTAGACCACGGCACGGGAGTCCCCACAGGAGGTGACGCAGGGCTGGCTCCAGGCATTGGCATACGGCGCGGGGCAGCTCACATCACAGGGTGAGTAGCTGCTGTAGTTGCAGACCTGTCCATTGAAAGACATCTTTCTGGCTGGAAGTAAACCTGAATGAAACACAGAGGGTGGGAGAGCATGGGTGAAGGGTGACAGTGCAGGTGTGCTTGCAAAGGAGAACCCTCATTTATTCAAAGCAGTGATAGTGAAGAACACATTCAGAGAGCAAGTGCCACAGGAAAATCTGGTTAGAGTTAAGAGGTAAGAAAGATTTCATTTTCTATTACTCCATTTCACATCTTGAACTCTTACATTTCACATCTTGAATTCTTACAACATTCCTTATCTGGTGAAGATTGACAGTGCAAGTGCATTTGCAAAGGGGAACTCTCATTTATTCAAATCTTATAATATTCAGAAAGTTACTCTTCTATAGCTAGAGGTATAGTCTGATTGCAATTCATATGCAGAAATCATGACTATTAGGTAACCTGTTAGAAGTCAGCAAAGCCTCATTAACTAGAGAGGAGGATTAACCTAGCAATATTTAGTTAAAAACTGTTTCTAAAACTATTGTCTTCATTTGCAAGTACTCTTAGGCATAGACAAATACCAATAGCCATTCTTTCTCTGAAACATGCAAAAATCTCTTGAAGCTCCATGCTGTCCGTATTTTCCAAAGCTTGCCAAGCTGAAAGAGGTCACTGAATCTATTTTTATAAAAATAACGTTCTTACACTAATAGCAAAAGATATATTAACTGCTCACACAAATTTGAATTCAAATTCTTATTAAATTAGCTTTTGAACTCAGAGAACAGATATAACTGAAGTCAGACTTACTCAGTTTGCCACAAGGGTAAAGCCAAGAAGAGTGGTTTGAAGAGCTCTGTGCTCCATGCTCTTTTATAGGATTCCTACAGCAGCTCCAGGGGCTGAGCCACACTTCAGGCATGTAGCTCTTCCTAGTTACAAAACAAACTTTCCTGCATTTGTCACATCAAGGGGTGGAGGGATCCTTGCGTGTTGTTTGCAGTTAAGCAATTATTAGTTGAATGGTATCACATCCATTTTGCAGCCTACAGAAGGCTTTCATCTCAAAACAGGGGCAGTGTTCACCCTTAGTTTCTTTCTACTCATTGCAGACATTTACTTCCTTCTTCCACTTCTCCAAGCTTCAAAGCACGTAACTTTGACCAGTAGAACAGAAGATTGCTGATTTGACAAAACAGACTCATTTTTAAAATGATGTAGTGATTTTGTCATGCTTGGTGTAAAGGTTTTCAAACCTTTTAGTCACAAAGAGAAATGAAACTTAGAGACTTTTATACCACCTTGGCAATGTACCTTTCTGCTCCCCTTTTATCCCTACTCTATTTTTCCATCATAAGTAAAAATAAAATAGAAGTCTATAGATACAGCCCTCAGATGCTTCAGTTAATAGTGGTCACAGCTACAGAAAAGCAGCTCTGTGATGTAAGGGCCTTTCTGATGTTAGTATTGAGTTACTACAGCCTATTTTGAAGGGGTGGTGAAGAGGGGAAAGAGGGCTCATACGCTGCAGAAGTCTTCCTATCTCACTTAATTCCTGGTGAATATTATTGTACATTGCCTAGTTAAAAACATGAGAAAGGGCAAGAAAACCCTTGATTAGGATTGCTGTGAAGGAAGCAGTCTCATGCACAAGTTAATCCAAAATGTGTTGCTTCTAACAACTCCTTTGTTCTGGGACATGAAGTTCAGAGAGTGGATCTTGGTCTCCCCCTGTACAGGAGTTTGCAACATTTACAACTGAAAAACTGTATCCAACTCCTTACATGATGTAACAGACTACAGATGAAAGCGAGTGATCAAACGCTGGGGTCTTCCTGCACCTACATATCAATATGATGATCTTAAAGGATTTGTATGTCAAAAGTATTGTTTACAGCATTTAGTGGTTGAAGAGCTGAATTAGATTACACTATGATGCCCTTTTGACAGAAAAACTCATTTAAGGAACCGTGTTTCAGCCCCACGATGAGCTGGACCTCCTGTGGATTTATCAGATGGCATGGAAATCCTGTTTTCTTTGCCATTTATTATAAACAGAGACATTATCCTGGTCTTGCTCCTGAACCTACTTGGAAAAGTAAAACCTGAAAAGCAAAGTAACATCAAGCCTAGACGCAGGGCAAGTTAAAGATATCTGGGTTAAGGCATGGTGGTCTGGAGCACATTTTCAGCGTAACTTTTGGCAAGAACATGGGGAGACGTTTCTGGATGGCCCTCATTGCCTTGCATGCACTGGGGCAAATCCAGCCTGCCCCTCTGCACTCACTGCAGGAGGCTGTCACTCTGCAGTGAATGGGGGGATAGTAATCCTTTCACCATACCTAAAACTACTTGGTTTCATTTACTGGTTCCTGGCGGCAGTGACTGTCTGAGCTCTCTATTTTCATGGTTTCTGGGCGACAACCTCATTTACATAAGCTGAAAGATAGTAGAATTATAATTACAAATAACAACACTAACAAGTACAAGACATGCCTGAGATCTCCTCCCAGAGGCTCACTTAATTGCTAAGAGATGTTGCTAAATTATTTGGCCTCTGTCTTAATCATCTCTTTTAGAAATCATCATCAGTGATTGCCCATTTCATGTGGGTGTTACATTGGCTTGGACAGAGCAGTGTTTTACCTGCTGGGAAAAATGCAAAGGGGAAAGGCTAATTTGGAAGCAGAAGAAATCAGATGAAAATTTGTCTGTGGTGTTCACCTAAAGAATGCAGTGACCCATAAGATCAGTTTAAATTAAATGAGTTTCATGACCAAAATGTGTTTCACGGCCCCAGGATTTGTCAGATCTGGAAGGCAGTAGTGGGGAGTCCTCATACTGGACTTTCTAAGTCTTGCAACACGTTCTCCTTGGTCCTGTAAAATACCTCTGGAATTAAATCCCTAAAAAGCCAGATGTATGATAATCGAGGTTGCTAATGCAACATTAACTGCTGTCTGAGTTAGGGTGTATCTCAAAAGGATGGTGGAAGAATGAGGGATGGTGAAGCACATCTATAATCTGGACATCTCCAATTTTTCTCTCTCTGTCTTTACAAGGTATTTACATTTCCATCCCTATGGAAATGACTGTGAAAACTGATCATCTGAAAGTCTTTAAGTTGCACACATACCCATGTTGCCATGACACTTGAAGGTCTGAGGAGCAGGCAGAGACAAGTTGCAGTTCTTGCTGCCGTGGGAGCATGGTAGGGTAGCAGAGCATTGTGGTGTGGGAAAAAATAAACCTGTATTTCCTGGTTTCTAGCACGTCTTGTGGGCTCAGCACCTTTAGGAGGGCAGGTCTACACTAGGCAGAGGTCTCCTGAGCTAGAAGTGACCACCAGTTGTCCTTCTAAAAGGAAAGCAATGACCAGATGGTGCCTGACCTGTGCTAATTGCTTTTCCTCCAAACCACTTCTGAACCATTATCTTTCTTTCTTCATCCTCACCCAATAGTCTTCTTCCTTAGACTTCAGAAATGGTCTCAGTTTACAGTGTCCTTTTTAACTCCTTCCCTGGAAATCATGTTTGTTTTTTGATCACACCAGTTTAGTTTCTGCCCATTTAATACATGCAGCCTTATTTCTCAATCTCGGTCTTTTTATGTATCAAGAGAATATAAACCCCTTGTTTTTCCACTGCTTTATAAACAGCCACTCATTTGTACAACACCCAAAGGAATTGAGTAATTTTTATTGTTGCCTTCTTAAAGGGATTATTAAAAGACTGAGGCACTCAGCATACCAAGTCTTCCTTCTTTTATCTCCTACACTGGTGACACTGAGTCAAAGATAAATGTTTGGAGAACTGTAAGAAACAAAATAGGAGATTGTCCACCTCCAAGACATGATGAGAAGCAAAATTCATGTCTGTGCAACACATTTACAGGAAATTAAGGCTGTGCCATCAGTACCCTGAACATAACTGTGACAGACCCTGGTATGTCTCAGCCCAGAAAAATAATAGGACAGGTACAGGATGGCTAACACAGGTTTCTGAGATTTAACCATATTATTTCTACACTTCTGTTTCTAAATAAAGTAAGCAATACATGTTGGTTATGAATTATTTAGGATTAGTACAGGTAATCCTTTAAGTCAAGGATGATCATGATGATAATCATAGAATCAACTATGTTCAGAAAGATCTTTAAAATCATCAAGACCAACCATTACACCAGGACTGCTAAGACCACCACTAAACCATGTCCCTCTGACTTGGTTCTAAACCCAGCTACATTAGCTGAGAGCTGGGTATTAATTTCTGTGTTTCACATGTCAAAGTTAAAACCTGCCATTTAAACAGGGCACATCTAGTACCCCATTTTGCAGTACTCAGTTCTGGCAATGTGTAGCTAACAGTCAAATGCTGAATATGGACAATGAAATTTAAAATGGTTTAAAAGTGTTCCTTCAAAATGTCAAGTTTTCTTTCTCTCTAAATGAATTCCTGTGGAAAGCAAAAAAGTTAAGCTGAAATAGTAGTAGAAGGATTAAACAGAATACTGTGGCTTTGGAAAAGGCCTGAGACCTCCAATCACCAGCTCTGGCTTAGTATTTATAACAGTGTAAAAATTAAGCAAACACTAATATATGGCCAACTCATATAGAGATACCAGTTAAGTTATAATAAAGTAAGATAATTTGACAAATTAATTTGCATATTCATAGCAAAGTAAATCTTGATCTCCTTCTGTCCCCAATAAAGCCAACTGAGTTATAACTAAGGTGGAAATCCTCTCCCTTTGACATGCAAGTCTAGGAGCAACATACCCATGATGAAAAGCCATCTAAGGTGGAGTGAGTTAGGAGAAACAATACGGACAACAATTACCTTGACTGAGTGACAAACAGGTCTGTTTGAGGGACAATGAGTACAAATGAGGAAAAGAATCGTTCAATTCCCCTAGGGCAAACCAAGAAGCAGTATAAAAGCACCTATAGCCCAGTGTCTTCAAACCACTTCTCTTCGAGAGTCCTTCCACTTCTGCTGTTCAACCAAGTAAGTCACTTTCTGGGGCAGGGGGGAGTTTGAGCTAACACGTCAGTTCAATGTATTTCTAAGAAATTCAGTTTAAGGAATGCTGTGACAAACATTTCAAGATATGAAATAGAGTAATAGAAAATAGTTTCCATTTTCTATATTTTATATTTATAATAGAGTAAAATGCATTTTGTCTTTTTCACCTCTAACTCTAACCAGATTTTCCTGTGGCACTTGCTCTCTGAATGTGTTCTTCACTATCACTGCTTTGAATAAATGAGGGTTCTCCTTTGCAAGCACACCTGCACTGTCACCCTTCACCCATGCTCTCCCACCCTCTGTGTTTCATTCAGGTTTACTTCCAGCCAGAAAGATGTCTTTCAATGGACAGGTCTGCAACTACAGCAGCTACTCACCCTGTGATGTGAGCTGCCCTGCACCATACGCCAATGCCTGGAGCAATCAGCCCTGCGTCACCTCCTGTGGGGACTCCCGTGCCGTGGTCTACCCACCACCCGTGGCCATTGTCTTCCCAGGCCCCATCCTCAGCTCCTGCCCTCAGGAGAGCATCGTGGGCACTTCAGCCCCCCTGGAGATAGGCAGCTCCTTTGGATATGGGAGTGCCCAGGATGTGCAGAGCTCCTTTGGGTCTGGCACCTCCCTGGGTGGCAGGTACTCCTACCCCTGCTACTCCCGCAGCTATGGGGTATACCACTCTGCTAAGTCTGGCAAGATTTCCCAGGATAGCAAGACCCAGCAGAAGCAAAACCAAAACAAGAGCTCATGAGTGAACAGTGGGATGCGGCTTTTAAAGAGTCAGTGAGAATTCTCAGGAACAGGACATGCTCATCCACCCTGAGAAACAAGTCCAGAATATCAGTTTCCTCTGTATAATAGATCTCTGCTCACTATGTTCTGGCTGTGTGCCCTTTTCACTTTGCTTTCTGTGTAAATCTAACAACTCTGTGTTGTTCCATGCAATATTCCTGTGGTCTGATAAATCTCATTTGTCAGTTCCAATAAAATCCTTTCTGCATCACAATATTGTTTTCTGCTTTTATTTATAAGGTTTCTAAATCAATAGCCCACTGATGCTAAAATAATCCTCAATGACTAGTCTCCTGCATTAGTTATGGTGTTGAAAGAAAATCCCAGACCTTGATATAGATCCTAAATGTTTTATAGCCATGGATG